GTGGCTCATTTTCCCTGGTTGGGCGTCTGTGGGTCACTTCTTACCCCTTGCATCTCCTGGACATTTTCAGACCTGCCTTTGGGGGGCGTGCATGCGTAGGTGCTGACCTCCAGGCCAAGATGTGCAACACCCAGGTAGGCCTGCTTCCCGGGCAGGGCGACAGGGGCAGGTGGCAGCTTGGGCCCTGGAGGAGCTGAAGGACCAGGGTAGCTGTAATTTGTGGTTCACACCAGAAATTTTGAGAGTGAAGGGGGTGCTACTAACACCTACACTGGGGCCATAGTGTGTACACCAGGACTGTCCCATGCCTGAGAAGAGGGACCCTGAAGTGTCCTCTCCCTGCCCAAATGCCGTCTCCTTTCAGGGCACCCTGGTATCTTCAGTGAGAACACCCCTCCCTTCTCAGTAATACAATTCAGCACTGTGAAGCCACTGTGATTCTTTTAGTTATAAATGCAGATGAATTTCACATGGCATGAAATCAACTTAATTTAAAGTGCAATTCAGTGGCATTTAGTACATTCACAATATTGTGCAACTACAACCTCTGTCTAGTTTCAAGGCATCCCCATCACCCCAGAGCGAGACCTGGGACCATTAGCAGCCACTCCCATCCCCTCTCCCTGAGCCCGTGGAACCACTAGTCTTCCCGTCTCTATAGATTTGCCTGTTCTGGGCAATTCCTATAAGCGGGAGCATACAGCTCCTTGTTTCTTTCACTTGGCATCATATTTTCAAGGCTCATCCATGTTGTGGGTGTCGGTGCTTTGCTCCTGTTCATGGCTGAGTAACAGTCCATTGTCTGGATGGACCACATTTTGTTCATCCATTCATCCTGTGGATGGACATTTGGGTTGTTTCCACCCTTTGGCTGTTGTGAATAGTATTGCTCTGAACCTCCGTGTCCGTGAACCTGCTTGAGTCCTGTCTTCGGTTGTTCTAGGTATACACCTAAAAGTGGATTTGCTGGGTCACGCAGTAATTCTGTTTAGCTCTTTGAGGAACCTCCAAACCTCTCCCACAGCAGCTGACCCATGTCACATTCCCACAAGCAGTGTGCCAGGGGTCCGGTTTCTCCACGTGCTCTCCGGCACTTATCGTCTGTGTTTTTTTAATCCTCACCTGAGGATATGTTTTTATTGACTTGAGAGAGAGAGGAAGAAAGCGAGAAGGAGAGAGAGAGAAACGTCGATGTAAGAGAGAAACATTGATTGGTTGCCTCCCGCATATGCCCTGACTGGGGATCAAACCCAAAACCTAGGTATGTGACCTGACCAGAAATCGAACCCAAAACCTTTTGTTGTACAAAACGATGCCCCAAACAACTGAGCCACCCAGCCAGGGCTAATTGTCCATGCTTTTTGTTTTTAAAAAATATATATATATTTTAATTGATTTCAGAGAGAGGAAGGGAGAGGGAGAGAGAAACATCAATGATGAGAGTCACTGATCGGCTGCCTCCTGCTCGCCCCCCACTGGGGATGGAGCCCGCAACCCGGGCATGTGCCCTGACTGGGAATCGAACCGCAATCTCCTGGATCATAGGTCAGTGCTCAACCACTGAGCCACACCACCAGGCTAATTGTCCATGTTTTTTTATCACGGCCGTTAGAGTGGGTGTGAAGTGCTGGACTGATTGCGTTGACATTAGGATCTGCATGTGGTGAGACCTTTCCTCCCCCTTTCTCCAGGCAGACCCTGGAGGCCAGACCTGGAGGGAGTCTTCATCTGTGGCATGGGGGTGGGGGTCGCCTGTGTGGGGCATCTGTGGCCCTTGGCCCTGCTTAGCGGGTCCACTCCGATCCTTTTCTCTCAGATGCCTTGGCACTGAGGCTCTTGCGGCGAGGCCCTTTGCCAGGACTTTTCTAACCACCTGCCTCTAGAGGCACATGCGTGGTGAATAAATAAAGACCCTGTTCTCTGAAGTTTGGGCTCCTGGGTCCAAGAGCAGTGTTCTTTGCCCCACTTTCCTCTGTGCTGCTGGGTGGTAGTCCCTGTCCTGAGTTCTCACAAATTCTCCTGGAATTCCCCTATCAGCAGAAAGAGACTCCTGTCACCCCACTTCACAGAGCAGGGAACTGAGGTGCAGCCGGGAGCCAGGCTCAAACCTTTAGTCTGGCCCTCACACTGCAGGGTGCCTCACTGTCTCCCAGTGGCAAGGGTCCCCTGCTCTAGGTCCTCTGCCCTAGAACCCCCTGCCCCAAGAGCCCCCTGTCAGAGCCCCCCATCCTGGGGCCCCTGCCTGAGCCCTACACCCCAGGCCCCTTCTGTGCTTGTCCTCTGCTCTCTGGCCAGGCCTGCGAGACGACCCAGCTGGAGTTCATGTCTGAGCAGTGTGCCGAGACCGAGGGGAAGCCTCTGCACCTCTCCCCCGGCAATACCTCCTTCTACCGCTGGGGCCCTGCTGTGCAGTACAGTCAAGGTGGGGCCTGGGGCTGCAGATGGGAGCCAGGCGAGGGCGGGGAGAGTCGGCCCCCATCGCTCTATGCTGTTGACAGCAGGACTCAGGCTCAGACTGTGCATCAGAGGGACCATGGAGCCATCCTGGCAGGCCCCCTGTAGCAGGTTATCTCTGAGTCTTGGTTTCCCCATCTGTAAAGGGGATAAGAGCAGCATCTCACTGCTCAGGCTGCTGGAAGGACTCAGTGAGATGACGCAGGGGAAGCACCCAGTGTGCTCCTTGGATCATCGCTCAGTAGTGTGTATTACATCGTGGTTGCGATGCTGCTTCAGGGGGAAAATAGGATCCCACCCTGAATGCCGAGGGTGAAGCTAGGCAGGGCTGGTGGGGTGAGGGCCCCCAGGAGCATGCTTTGCGGGGTCACTGCCCTCCCTGCTCCCTGCCACCCTGCATCAGTGTTCCTTGTTCCTCCGCCTTCCCAGGGGATGCTCTGTGCAGACACATGTGCCGGGCCGTTGGCGAAAGCTTCATTGTGAGGCGTGGGGACAGTTTCCAGGATGGGACCCGATGTGTGCCAAGTGGCCCTCGGGAGGACGGGACCCTAAGCCTATGCGTGTTGGGCAGCTGCAGGGTAGGCACCTGAGGGCATCGTGTGCTTTTCTGTCCCCTGTGGCCCCAAGGCCTGTCCCAACAAAGCCAAGACATAAAGGCCTCTCCTGGGGACGAAGTCTGTGGGCTCTGGCCCCGTGAAGCTTCAGCAGTCTGCACGGGGAGACGCTGGAACAAAGGGTAGACCTTGGGGTCAGGTGGGGGTTATGATCTGCGCTTTGACCTGGGGCGAGTCATTTGAGCTTGCTTCCTGAAGGGACATCAGATGCTCTAAAACTGGGCCCAGTTGGTCATGTGAATCTGAGAAGCTCGGAGCTGTGTGCATCAGGGGGGCTGCCCTTCAATGACATGCAGCTGGGTCTCACCTGCCACTCCCCTTTGCACAGACATTCGGCTGTGATGGCCAGATGGACTCCCAGCAGGTGCCAGATGTGTGCCAGGTGTGTGGAGGGGACAACAGCACGTGCAGCCCACAGAACGGCTCTTTCATGGCTGGAAGAGCCAAAGGTAGGGGCGGCCCCCAATCCCCAAGAAGCCCTGGCAGCCCAGAGCCTTGGTGCCCGATGACCAGGCTGGGGTGGGGTGGGATGGGGGTCCACACGTTTGCTCAGCCCTGGAACCTCCTAGCAGGCCTCAGCTTCCACCCTCCACTTTGCCAGCCTGGCCTTGACTGCCCCCTGTGACGGGGGCCTCACTGCTGCTTGAGGCAGCCCGCGCACATTGAGAACTTTTGGTGTTGAAGCCCTTTTTGTGGTAACACTGAAATCTGCTCCCTGACTATGATGTAGGTGACTGAGCCCACCCACCCTCCTCTGCTTCCTCCTAGAGTATGTCACATTCCTGACGCTCACTCCCAACCTGACCAGTGTCTACATTGCCAACCACAAGCCTCTCTTCACACACCTGGGTGAGTTGGCCAGAGGATGCCCACTAGAGTTAGCCAAACCTCGAAGGTTTGAGGGCATGGTCCCCAAGATGCCTGCACTGCTCACTCCACCTTCAAGTTTGGAGGTTCCCCAAGCCACCATCAGATTGGACTGCTCACTAGGACTCCCAAAACTCAGAGCTGTTATGCTCACAGTTATGGCTGAAAACAGGAAGGATACAGAATAAAACTAGCCAAGGAAGAGACGCCCAGGGCAGGGTCTGGGAGGCTCCATGTCCAGCACGGAAATGTGACATGCATGGAGTCCTGACAACCGCAGTTGCTCACCCAGGCTCAGTGTCCCGTTTTCTCCGAGCTTTGTTATATAGGCACGATTGGTTCATTGACTGACTGACTGATCGATTGAATGTTCACATGGATGATCTCAGTCTCCAGGTTGACTGATGCCATGTGACCCAAAGGCCCTAGACCATGTGTTTGGTCTTTCTGCTGTAGCCAGACCCCATCTTAAACAGAGACACTCCTATCGGCTGACACAGGTTTCCTCCCGGAAGCCGAGGACAAAGGCCAGACCTGTCTTTGGGCAGAGCCAACTTTTTCACTAGTCAATGCCACTATGGGACTTCGTGTCCAGGGGACACCCACACCTGACCTTTGAACCCAGAGTGGGGCTCCTGCCTGCTGTCCTTGAGCCCCTGAGCCTGCCTGTAGAGCTGGTGTGAGTACACCTGGTGAGCGAAGGCAGCCCACAGTGCTCACTAGGTACTGGAAGGCGGCACAGAGTCGCTGCTATGAGGAAGCCTGCTGTGGTCAGACCCCTGTGTGTACCTTGAAGGGTGTGCCTTGCAGAGACCAAGACATAGGAGGACCTGCTCCTGGGGGTTGGGGACTCGGGAGGACAGTTGCAGATGTGGCCATGGAGGTTACATCCCGTTGGCCCATTTCCTAAACCAGGACCTCTTCCATGAAAGAGGGTGGAGCCCACCTCCCTTGGGTGTGGGGGGCTCTGATGTGCTGACGGGCTTCACTCCCCCCACAGCAGTGAGGATCCGAGGGCGCTACGTGGTGGCTGGGAATTTAAGTATCTCTCCCAGCACCACCCACCCCTCCCTCCTGGAGGACAGTCGAATTGAGTACAAAGTGACCCTCACTGAGGACCGGCTGCCCCGCCTGGAGGAGATCTTCATCCGGGGACCCACCCAGGAAGACATAGAGATCCAGGTGACCAGAAGGCCTCCTCCGGGGGCTCCCTGTCTGTCCGTTCATTCACTCACTCGTTCACTCAGCGGTCACTGGGAGGACCCACAGAGCCCCTGGAGCTCTGGCAGTGGGTGAGATGGAGAGCCCTGAGCAGGGCCCAGACGGCTTCCCCGGGGAGGGGCAGCAGGGCTGGGTTCTGAGACGAGCTAATGCTCAGGCCAGCCAGGCGGGAAGTGTCCCGAGAGCACAGGAGAGGTAATTAGGAGGAATGAAGGAAGGGGACCCTTCAGGCAAAAAGTCTAGAGGGCGGGGCAGACCTTGAGGGGCCTTCCTGGCCAGGTGAGGAGTTGGGCTTCCTCCTGGGCATCCCGGGGGCTCCTGAGGGGCTCTGTGCAGTTGGAGTTGGGATGGGGCCTTTGTCAGGCCTGGTTGGAGGAGGGTGTAGGGAGCGAGACAGTGGGGGAGGCTGGTTGGACCAGTGCCAAGATTAGAGACCCAAGGGGGTAGGATCAGGGAGCGTCCCTCCAGGAACAGTGGCAGCCCAGGAGCTGAAAGCAGGGTGAGCTGGGGTCAAGAGCCCCGGCTGTGGGCTCAGGTGCGCTAGAGTTCGAATCCTGGCTCTGCAGGAACTTGGATAGCAGATTTAACCTTTCTGAGCCTCAGTTTCCCCATCTGAAAAATGGGATGGAGCATACCTATACTGTAAAGTTGCGAAGATTTGCTTTTAAATAACGTACATTAAGTGTGTGGCAGAGTCTGGTGCCCCATGTGGGCGCCATGAGAGGCGGCCATGCTTCAAAGTGTGTGCCAGTTTGGATCTTGAAAGTGTCCAGAGGACTGGGGATGCCCCATTATGATGCTGGGGAAGTAAGGCCCCCAGAAGGTCCGGGATAAAGGGCCGGGCACTGTGAGGGCCTGACTGGAACCTGAGCATTCCCTTCCTAGGCTTTGCCATTCTCGGGCAAAGATGCTGGGCTGCCCAGATTCTCATCCTGACTCCCTGATGCTGTGTGCGTCATCTGGGCCTCAGTCTCCCCCTCTGTAGAATGGGATCACAGTCCTGCCTCCAAGGGTCAAAGCATGTTTCAGGAGTTATCTGCCCCTTCCTGCTGACCGCTCAGTCCTCACCTCCTGCTGATCCCACCCCCGGGCTCTTGCCTGGGCTCCCCTCTGTCTGAAGGCCCCGTCACCCCCCTCTGCTCCATGTCCCCAGAAGCTCCATCCTGACCTGCCCTACCCCTAGCAACCTATACCCTTTCATATTGCTATCCTGTACCTGCCAGGCACTTTAGGATTATCTGTCACCACCCCACCCACTGGGAGCTCCTGGAGGCTGGGACAGTGTCCCGTTTGCTGTGCTGTCCCCAGAACCTGGTGTGCAGTCAACATTAGTTATGGCTTGCTGAGCAAAATAATACAGGGATGGAGGAGTGAAAAGTTGAAGGCCTTCGGGGGTGGCGATGACAGTGACCCTCAGGGAGCTCACTGGATAAGGCCTGAGCCCACCGTCCTTGTGCAGGTGTACAGGCGCTATGGCGAGGAGTATGGCAACGTCACCCGCCCAGACATCACCTTCACCTACTTCCAGCCTAGACTGCGGCAGGCCTGGGTGTGGGCCGCCGTGCGGGGGTCCTGCTCGGTGAGCTGTGGGGCAGGTGAGGCCTGGGCCAGGTGAGGCCCGGGGCAGGGCTTGCCCGAAGCCTGGTTTGCCCCCGGTGTGGAGGTGGCCTAGCCCCCCTCTTCCTCGCAGGGCTGCGATGGGTGACCTACAGCTGTCTGGACCAGGCCAGGAGCGAGTGGGTGGAGGCTGCTCAGTGCGGAGGGAGCCCGCAGCCGGCGGCCTGGTCAGAATCCTGCAGCCCTGGACCCTGCCCCCCATAGTGAGTGCTGTCTGCGGATCCCGGGTGGGTCAGAATGGCTGCGGGGCTCTCCCCTGGACCGTGGGGCCCTTGCCTCATGGTCTGGGCAAGGCAGCTTTTGTGTATGTTATCGCTTAGTACTGGATACTGCCCTATGAGGCGGGTGCTGTCAATGTCCCCATTTTGCAGGTGAGGACACTGAGCCTCAGGTAGACACAGGTGACAGTGACCACACCTGATGTACCCTGTCTGCGGGCAGCACATGCCCTCTTTGGGCTGAGGTGGTCCCTAACATGGAGATGGTCACCCTACCTGGGAGGGCTGTGGGGGAGACTCAGGGAGGTAACCTCGTAGAAAGCACCTGATGGAAAGTACCTGGCTATTGCTGGCCAGGCAGGTGTGGTTGGTAGGAGCATAACGTCAGGGACAAAGCTGTTCCTGTTAGGTGCAGGGCTGGGGCAGCTACCACCTGCACTTTTATACAGGTGTCCTCAGACTCGGGTGCAGCTTGGGGACACCTGGAGAGCTAGAGGGCGGGCCGGATGTCCCTGTGCAGTGTTCAGGTACCCGAAGGGTCATGGGGCCCAGCCCAGACCAGGGAAGTGAGTCAGCTGGACAGATCTGTCTGCCTCTCACCCTGTCCCCCTGAACCAGCGTGGGGACGTGGCTAGGGGCCTGATACTCTGTCCCTCTCTTCCTCAGCTGGGCAGCTGGAGACTTCGGCCCGTGTAGCGCCTCCTGCGGGGGAGGCCTGCGGGAGCGGGCAGTGCGCTGCATGGAGGCCCAGGGCCACCGTCTGAGGACGTTGCCCCCGGCCCGGTGCCGAGCGCTGGCCCAGAAGCCAGTGGTGGTAGAAACCTGTAACTCCCAGCCCTGCCCCCCCAGGTGAGCGCCGAGTCTGGGGCAGATTCTCTCTGCCAGGGCCTGTCCCTGTACTGAGCCCTGCCCCTTCTGAGTGACACCTTTGCCCAAGGCCTCTAGCCAGGGGCCACCATCCTGGGTGATAGGCAGTAGTGGCCCAGAGTTAGGGATGCCAACTTCAAGAAACCCTGGACCTAATTTCTCTCTGAAGTTCCCAAGTCCCTACTCAGGGAGGGGTTGTGAGGACCAAGTGAAGCCACGAATGTGAAGCAATAAATGTCACTTCGTCATTACTGTCATCACTTCCCTGGTGCCTTTTGTCCCCTTGGTGCCCAAGCTGACAGTGGCTTATCATTCTGACTTACTGCTAATTAGCTAGGTGACCAAGGCAAGTCCCCTTTCTCTCTGGGCCCCACTGGGGAGGGGGTTGGCCTGGGTCCCTGGTGGCCCACACTTGGCTCCGGGTTCCTTTTCCCCTCTGTAGTCCACAGCAGACATAGGGATCACCACTCGCCCACTGAGGGCTGCTCCTGCCTCAGAATCCTTCTCAACACAGCTCTCCAGGCAGCCACTGCCTCTCCGGGTTGGCACCATGGAACAATTTTCTGTCCCTGACCTGGGTGATCGGATTGCATCTGACACATGATTCTCAGCACCTGCTGGGCAGTGGGAGCCATGTGGTTATCTGGTGGGAGGCCCACCTTCGCCTCTGAAAGGCTGAAGGGTCAAGCCTGTGTCACTGCGCCCTGGTGCTGAGCAGTGTCCACCACGGTTGGCACTTCAGGGAGAAGCCCTGGGCTTCCTTTGTGGGGCCCCTCTGTGGGTTCTTGGATCCTGGGGAGCAGGTTCTCCCTGCCCCAGTGGCCAGGCTGCACAGACAGCCTGATGGCAGAGGCAGGGCCTGATGGCTGTCTTGTGCCATCAGGTGGGAGGTGTCAGACGCATGCTCCTCGGCCTGTGGAGCAGACCTGGCCGTACAGAATGTCACGTGCGTGCAGGCAACAGATGGCCCAGAGGCACCAGTGACTGCTGAGCCCTCCTCTACAGACAAGAAACCAACTGCTCTCGAGCCCTGTATGGAGGTGGTATGTCCTCCGGGTTGGGGCCATGGGAGTGTCCTGGGAATGGGGGTGGTTATTGGGTCCTTGTCTGGGAGAGAGAATGGGGAGCCCTGGGTTGGCCTCATGGCCAGAATGGGAAGACTATCCTTCTGCAGGGCTGCTGTCTGCCGGATCCCTGGTCCAAGGATAAACTTAGAAACAGAGCTCAGGGTCCATTGGGAAGCCCCCGTCCCCATAACAAGCCAGGCTGAGGGGACCCAGGCCCTGTTAGAATGCTGCCCTTTCCCGGCTGCATGGAGAAACACTGCCAGGCTCCCACCTAGTGTCCAGGGGCTCGAGGCTGGGTGCTGTTGCTTTTAGACAAAGGTGTTGGCCAATCCAGCTTCTGAGCCCCAGCTCTCAGTCCTGCCCCACAGTGACCACTCACGCTGATGCAGAGCCCAAGGTAGGGCGTGTGGTGAAGGCATCCCCTGGGGGCCGGAGAGCAAGTCTTCCCAGCCAGGATCAGCAGGGAGGGACAGCCCCTGGGGTGCTTGTGACCACTTCTTTCTCCTGAAGAGATTGCGCCAGTTGGGGCAGAGGTCTGGAGGTGGGGTGCCCGGAATAACCAGCTTGTTGCTTGCCCCCTACAGCTGGACCTCCAGCCTCTGGGGATGGAGGCTGCATCCCCATCAGGCAGTACCAGGCTGGGGGCTCCCGCTGCACACGTGTGGACTCCCCTAGCAGGGCCGTGCTCCGTCTCCTGTGGCAAAGGTGAGGCCCCTGAAGACCAGCACTTGTTAGCTAATTCTTACCTGCCTACATTTTGCTTGGTTCTGAAAATCATTTGGAGTAGCTTTTTGAAAATTCCAACCATGCAAGCACATGACACAGTGTACAAGGAGATTGGGGCAAAGCGCAGACAGCCATGTAGCATTTTCAGTGATTGGTGGAAAGATGGGAAGATCATAAAATCTAGCATATTGGCACCAAAAGCATATTTCTTTTTAAAAAAATATATATTTTTATTGATTTCAGAAAGGGGAAGGGAGAGGAAGAGAGAGATAGAGATAGAGACATCAATGATGGGAGTCATTAATTGGCTGCTGCCTGCACATCCCCTACTGGGGATCAAGCCCAAAACCCGGGTATGTGCCCTGACCAGGAATTGAACCTCAGTCTCCTGGATCCTAGGTTGATGCTCAACCACTGAGCCACGCCGGCCAGGCAAACATATTTCTTAAGATCCAGAAAAGCTGTGAGAGATGCGCCCCAAATTTAGCTTTGAGTTCCCGGTGGCCAAACCAAAGAAACAAAATTGATCCTAAGATACAGTGTTCTTTAAACGTCCCCCCTACCAACTTGCTCAGTAAAACTTCAGCACGTTTAGAATGGAGACCACAGATTTATTTTGAGGATGCTCCCAATATGTTCATGACAAACACAGTGAGAGGTGTTCATATAGCAGTTCTTATACCGCTTCTCAGTAAATAATAGCAGCTACTATGAGCACTTACTATGTATCAGGCACTTCATATCTCTCCTTTAAAAATCTTTATACATATCCCTGAAAGTTAGGCATCAGTATATGAGAAACCCTGAAGCTCAGAGAGGTTAGGTCATTTGTCCAATGTCACATAGCTGGTAAGTGGCAGGGCCAAGACTCAAACCCTCTGCTAGAGCTTTTCAGAGAGGTGCGCACTTGTGGTCCCGGTTGAGCCCTCCTCTTGGGGCACGGGGTCCCTGCTTCCTTCCTGCAGGCCACATGGAGCTGCGTTTCATGTGCATGGACTCTACCCTCAGGACACCTGTCCAGGAAGAGCTGTGTGACCTGGCAAGCAAGCCGGCGAGCCGGCGGGAGGTCTGTCAGGCTGCCCTATGCCCGGCTTGGTGAGTGGGGAAGGGGACTGTGCATGGGGCAGCAGCCTGTGTCCCCTGTGGAGGAAGGAGTCCTACCCTTGGGTATGGTCTCCCTGCAGGTGGGAGACCCGAGCCTTGGCGCCATGCCCAGTGACCTGCGGAGGGGGACAGGTGCCGTTGGCTGTGCGCTGTGTGAGGTTGGACCGTGGACGCTACATCTCTTTACCTCACTCCAAGTGCTGGCCAGTGCCCCAGCCCGAACCCCTCGAGGCCTGCAGTCCGGAGCCCTGCCCCGCCAGGTGGGCCCTTCCCAGGGAGGCAGGTGGTCCTGGGGGGTTTCACGGGGCTGCATGTAGAGCGCAGGGCACTGGATCCAGGATGCTGTGTGCGCACATTGTTGGTTGATGGTTCATTTTGTCATCGCCTGCTCTTTACTGAGCACCTACTGTGCCAGGCACTGTTCTGGCACCAGGGCGCACAGCAGTGAACCAGACGACAAGCATCCCTGCCTCCCTGGAGCAAACGCTGGGGCCAAGGGGCGATGGACGATATATCAGGCAGACTGGAGACAGCTAGTGTGATGGGTGGTGATTGGTGCAACGTGGCACAGGTAGCGGGAGGCAGGTCCAGGGGGTGGTGGGGCTGGGATCCCCATTGGACACAGACATCTTAGCAGGATCCCCGGGGTGCCCTGCCCCTCCCACACTGCCTTTTGGACATATCTTTTTTGCCTCCCTTTCCCCTTCTGTAAAATGGGTTCTTCTGAATGTTCTGTCCACTGTGCCGTGCCTCTCAGCGGAGGGGTAAGGGTGACCCCCAGAGAGAGAGCCTCTCTAGGCCCTTCCTGGTGTGGGGAAGTGAGGGGGCCTCCTGGCTTCTCTGGGTCCTCTTCTGACTCCGGTTTGCCCCAGATGGCGGTACAAGCTGGCGGCCTGCAGCGTGAGCTGTGGGGGAGGGGTCATGCGGAGGATCCTGTATTGTGCCCGGGCCCATGGGCAGGACAAAGAGGAGGAGATCCTGCCGGATGCCCAGTGCCAGGGGCTCCCTCACCCAGAGCAGCAGGAAGCCTGCAGCCTGGAGCCCTGCCCGCCCAGGTCAGCAGCCCTAGGACGTCCAGCAGGTGGCCTGAGCTCCTGGTGTGTGCAGAAGCCAGGCCAGGTGCCATGGGGACCCAAGGATGGCTCAGTGGCACAGCGCTGTTGGTTCTAATGGGGGTGTGGGTGTGGGTAGCGCTGGGGGAGCCCACGCAGGGCAGAATAGTGCTCAAGCCGGGGGGGCCCAGAGACCAGGCTGGAGCCCTCCCCGGGGGAGAGCAGACACTCACCACCACGCTCACAGTTCCTCCGTGGCTTCCTCATTGTGCTCTTGCATTTTTAATAATGGAATGCTTTTCCATATTGTCCAGAAACGGCCGGAAAAGAAGGTAACAGACACCTATGTCCCCTACCAGATTTAATAGGTGTCACCATATTGCCACATTTCCCGCCCATCTGTCTCGTTTTTAAAGAAACACGCCTACAGATGAGATCCATTTACATTTAACCCCTTGAACCGGTCTACGATTTATTTGGGGCATATTGCAAAGCTGGGAGCAAGCTTTATTTTTCCAAGTCACTGACCAGCAGTGCTTGTTGAGTTTCTCCCGGTGGCCCCTTATCACACCCTCAACCTTTGGGTCTGTTGGGGTCCATGTGGAGGTTTTCTACCACACTCTGTTGGCCCCCCTCCCCTATTCCTATCCCATATTAAATTGTCTTAAATTGGCAGCTTTATGACCCATTTACCATCCTACCAAAATGTCTGTTGATTTTGTTGCTTGTGCTAATACACATTGGCCTTGTACCCCCACTTATTTCCACGTCATGTTTAGAGGTGATCTGGGATTTATGGGAATCGAACTGCGATCTCCCAGATCCTAGGTCGATGCTCAACTGCTGATCCACCCCCAGCCGGGCTGCTTAATTATTCTTAACAGCATCTGCCGCCTCCTAATATTTATTTCTGTTTATTGTCTTTCTTCCTTCAATGGCAGAGCTTTTCCAGCCAGGCAATTCTGCCTTTCAGGGGACATGTAGCGATGTCTGGAGACATTTTAATAAATTGTCATGACTGGGGCTGGGAATGCTACTGGTATCTAGTGAGTGGAGGTGGGGGTGCAGCGTCTCTCTGGGGTCTTCTCTTCCTGCAGGTGGAAAGTCACGTCCCTTGGCCCATGCTCAGCCAGCTGTGGCCTAGGCACCGCCACACGCTCCATAGCCTGCGTGCAGCTGGACCAGGGCCAGGACGTGGAGGTGGACGGGGCGGCCTGTGTAGCTCTGGTGCGGCCACAGGCCAGCATCCCCTGCGTCGTTGCAGACTGCACTTACCAGTGGCACGTCAGCGCCTGGACGCCGGTGAGTGCTGCGCCTGCAGCTGAGAGTGCGTCAGCTGAGGGGCCTCACGCACGGGACCCTGGGGAACTTTGAGTCATTGTGACTCCCTGAAAGGAGATGGAAAGCCGGGTTTGTTGGGAAGGGGCAGCCGGGGCACCTAGAGGTGGAAGACAGCAAGGCCCAGAGGCGTGGAGGGCAACCGGGCCTTAAGAGGCTCTGAGGTCTGGAGACATGGGAAGGTGAAGAGCTGACAACGCAGTTCCACACGGATAGGCAGGCGCCATCCGGGCCCAGCGCCTCACAGGGCACGGGAATGCGGCAGTACATAGGGCTGGGTCCTTCTCAGAGGCTCGCTCACGGTGTGGAGAGGGGCAAAGCAGATAGCCACCACGTGCCTTGGTCAGCAGGACCAGGGGCATCTGGGCCAGGGGAGAAGGGGGCTCGGACGAGGGCAGTGCAGCGCAGGAGGGCAGGGCAGACGGGCTGCGGAGACTGACAGGAGGAGTCCATGCTGCCTGATTCCTGCTCTAGGGTTTGGAGAGGCAAGGAGGCCTCAAGGGTGACACAGACGTGAGCTTGAATCCCTGTTCCTGCTCCCTGTGAGGCCCATAGGAGGTAACCTCCCTGAGCCTCAGTGTCCTCCTCTGTAAAACGGAGACAGGTACCCGCCTCCAGTGCTGTGCAAAGGTTATATCAGACCGTGCCTGGCCTGAGGTCACCTGTCCTTGTTACCCTCAGGAAGGGTCAGCTGACTCCTTTCCCTCTTTCCTGGCAGTGCTCTGTCTCCTGTGGGGATGGCATCCAGCGCCGGCATGACACCTGCCTGGGACCCCAGGCCCGGGGGCCCTTGCCAGCCGACTTCTGCCAGCACTTGCCCAAGCCTGCGACTGTGCGGGGCTGCTGGGCCGGGCCCTGTGCAGGGCAGGGGACACCCATCCTGGTGCCCCATGAGGAAGCCACTGCCTCAGGACAGACCACAGCTGGCCCTGCGGCTGCTTCCTCAGAGTGGCCCCAGCCCTGGGCCCGCCTCGTTTCCCCAGTGCCCCAGACTCCGGGGCTCCTACCGGCGCCCTGGGAAAGCCCTGTGGAGTCCAGTATGTTCCTTCCTCCTTTCTGTCTGGGCGCTGGCTGGCTGCAGGAGGGGTGGCAGAGGCATTGGAGATGTCTGGGGGGGGGTTGTCCTGCGGCCACAGCTGTTGGGCCACTGGGATGTGTGCAGCTGGGCTGAAGGGATGGGCTTGGGAGGCCAGGCTCATGGCTAGCCCCTTCCTCACAGGCCAAGGGCAAGCTCACTTTCATCATCATCAAGGGAAGGTAACCTGAAGGTTTCAGAGTCAGACCCAAGGCCTGTGACCCAAAGCCAAGCACCACTTACACACTGCCTCCCTCTCGCAGAGCATCCAGAAATGGCTCTGTGCCCTGAATGGTGCCATCTGACCCCTGCAGCCCCCACCCCTGACCTGAGAAGGCTTCTGGCTGGGCATAGGAGGATGTCAGCCTCCTTCCTCAGCGTGGAAAACCCCAGCCCTGCCCTGCTGGGAGTGCCCCACCCGGAAGCTCTGCTCACCTGTGCTCCTGCTCCCTGTCCAGGTCCCTGTGGCGGGCAGCACCTTGAGCCAACAGGAGTCATTGATTTGCGTGGCCCGGGGCAGGCTGACTGTGCAGTGGCCATTGGGCGGCCCCTGGGTGAGGTGGTGATCCTCCAAGTCCTTGAGAGCTCCCTCAACTGCAGCACGGGTATGTCTAGGGCCACGTGAGCACCTGCCAGTAGGCGGGAGGCTCAGGACCAAACTGGGCTCCTCTACCCCAGGGACACTGTGCCGCAGCCCTGGACTGGGGGTGCTGGGCCCTCACTGCTCTGCCACTTCCTAGGGGAGATGCTGCTGCTTTGGGGCAGGCTCATGTGGAGGAGGACTTGCAGGAAGCTGTCGGGCATGACTTTCAGCTCCAAAGCCAACACACTGGTGGTGCGGCAGCGCCGCCTGCAGCCGCGAGGCGGAGTGGTGCTGCGGTTTTCCAGCCGGCCCGCCCCCGGGACCTTCCACAGAGGTAGGCAAGGCCCTGGAGCCTCCCCCACCCCCAGAGGCTGAATGAGTGGGTGCTGCTGCCAGCGGGGCGGTGGGCAAGGCAGACGGAGCTGAGCCGACCCAGATGAAGCTGTACGTTCCTGGACACCCCCAGCATCCCCACCCTGCAGTGGCCGGTGTCCATCTGCATGAGTGGTCAGCATGAGGTCTCAGGGTGTGTGCTTCACCCTTCCTCTCTGGGATGCTTCAGCGAGATGGGCAGAGGGGGACTCTGCCTATATCCTCACACTCTCCCTCAGGCCACCATGCCCTGACCCTGGCACTCCTCTCCTTCACGATCCTTTAGGACCCTTCTGTGAGCTGCTGTCCCCAGCCCTGTTACCATGCACAGTCCTTTTGTCTCATCCCCCACAGAACAGGCAGTGTGCACATGCGCACGGGATGGCGTCCCAGGGACCCCTTGCTTTGCCCATGGCCCCGTCAGTGTCCTCAGGTAGCTCTCTAGGTTGCTTCTCAGGAGGCTTTCTAGGTTGGCCCTCTCCCAACAGCCCAAGCTGGCTGAAGGTGGCTTCCCCAGCCAGTACCAGAGGTTCCTGGGTCCCCCCTAGGCCTCAGGTGAGAAGTGGGACACTAAAGGGCTTCTTTCTCCTTAGAGATCTGACGATGCCCCCCCTGCTCCTCTGTGTGTAGCTAGGTGCTGAGTGGTCCAGGGGCCGACTGCCTGCCTGCCTTCTCATCGCTCCTCACTTCCCAGCCTCCCCACGCAGGTGCTTGCCTCAGGGGAGGCAAGAGGGGCTGCCGTGGGTTGGAGCCCATCCTTGTGCCAGGCTCAGTGTTAAGCACTTTTGCACGTGTGACTTTGCTGAGTCCTCCTAAAAACTACCCTGCCCATTGTCTGCTATCGTCCCCTTCACTTTAAAGAGGAGGGAATGGAAGCTCAGAGTGTTTAAAGTCTTTGCCTAGGATCACACAGCAGGAGGTGATAGAGATGGGGTTCAGGGGGGGCTTCTGCTTGGGAGTCCTGGTCTTGACCACAGCGCCATATTGTCCCCCTTACTTCTTCCCAGCTGTGAGCTGCCCTGGCCTCTGGCAGTAGAGGTCTTTCCAGGGCTCCTGTGTCCTTGAGATGGCCCACACCCAGTCCACCCACCTGCTCTCCCCTGCAGAATGCGACATGCAGCTCTTCGGACCCCGGGGTGAAATTACAAGTCCACTGATGAGTTCAGATGGGAGAAATGTGGGGGGCTGCCGCATCTTCATCGACGTGGCTCCGTGGGCCCGTATCGCCATCCACGCTCTGGCCACCGACATGGGCCCTGGAGCTGAGGGAACTGATGCCAGCTACATCTTGGTGAGGCTACCATGATGGCAACAGGAATGGCCTGAGTTTTGCTATGATTCTGGACAGCTGTCCCTGGGGACAAGGACCGGGGTGCTGGGCTAGACGACCCCCTGAGTTTACTTCAGACCCAAAACCTCAAAAGTAGTGAAAGAATGGAAGAACTTCCTCCACTTACCAACACTTGTTTACTGTGCTCCCTACAAGAAAGAGACAGAAAAGACCCTTTCTTTTCTTTTTTTAAAAATATATCTTTATTGATTTCAGAGAGAGGAAAGGAGAGGGAGAGAGAGAGATAGAAACATCAATGATGAGAGAGTCATTGATCGCCTGCAGCCCACAACCCGGGCATGTGCCCTGACTGGGAATTAAACCCTGACCTCCTGGATCCTAGGTCGACGCTTAACCACTGAGCCACAACCGCCCGGGCAAGACCCTTTCTAATGTAGACAGCCAGGTAACCCAGGACTGGAGCAAGATTTTAGGGTCTGATGAACTTTGCCAGAAGAGGGGGCCAACCCCTCCGGCCAGGAGCTTTCATGTGTTCTGGGACAATTGTCCTCTGCAGGGTATTGGCTCCTCTGGATGAGGCAGCCCGACTTCTGGAATCCAGCAGAACTGGGCTCAAGTCCCGGCTGTGGCACCCTAGCCCTGTGCCCTGGGGGACGTGGTATGAGTTCTCTGAGCCTCAGTTTCCTGGGTAGGATAACAGTGTCCTCCTGATAGGGCTGTTGAGTGAGGGTTAAATGTGGCCCTGAGTGTACGATGCTTGTATGTTAAGGCTCCATGACCGGTAGCTAATGCTCATTTGTGGCCTGCCTTTCTGGGCGGCCCCTTTCCCCCCAGATCCGGGACATCCACAGTCTGAAAACGATGACATTCCGCGGGCAGCGAGCGCTCTACTGGGAGTCGGAGGGCAGCCAGGCCGAGATGGAGCTTAGCCAGGGCTTTCTGGAAACACAGGCCCGCCTGCGGGGCCAGTACTGGACGCTGCAGCCCAGGGCTCGGGGGCTCCGCAGTGCCCTGCCCTAGCTGCCTCTGCGGGCACACCCCGCAGTGCCCTGCCCTAGCTGCCTCTGCGGGCACACCCCGCAGTGCCCTGCCCTAGCTGCCTCTGCGGGCACACCCCGCAGCGGTCCCTGGGGCGCAGCGGGTGGAAGGAGAGCAGGGAAGCTGCCTCTCAGCGCCTGCTCGGCGCCCGGCAGCTCCGGGGTGCTCTCCGCTTCCAACGCCCGCCGATCTTCACTATCACCGTTAGCGCCGCCTCCGGCGTTCAGAACGTTAGGGGTGCAAGGGGGGCTCTCTGGAAAGGCAGCCCCAGCCCTTCGGGGATCAATAAACGGAACGTGCGGTCTGACTGGCGTCTTCACGTGACCTGTCCCAGTCTGGCTTGAAAACCCGCTCGGCAGCACGGCGGGGACCCCCCGGCCGCCAGCGAGCCCCGGAACCGCTGCTGACCGGATCAAACCTCTCGCCGCTCCCACCCGGGAGCGAGGGGCGTGGAGCGTGGAGTCGCCGTGGGGCGCGGACGCCCACCTACCTGTTATTTCTCCGCGAAGTCCCGCCCCCGGGCTAGTCCCATTGGGCGGACCTGCCCACTCGGCGTCCTGCGCCACCCAACCAGCCCCCTATGCTAATGAGCACGAGCGCCTCCTGCGCTACTCGCCGCGGCCCTGCGAGCCCCGCCCCCTATGCTAATGAGCTCGAGCACCCCCTGGGCTCCGCCCCCCCGTGCTAATAAGTGGTCGCCTTCCCACAAGGCAGCGCGCCGGCCGACGCGGCGGGCTCCGGAGCCCTTTGTGCGGGCGGTGGGCTTCGCCGCCTGGCGGCACCATGAGCTCCTCGGCCGGGGCGTCAGCGGAGTCCCTCAGCTCCGCGCCGCCCGCGGAGGAGGAGGGCATGACATGGTGGTACCGCTGGCTGTGTCGCCTGTCGGGGGTGCTGGGGGCCATCTGTGAGTACCGGGTCCGGGCGGGGGGCGGCCCCTCAGCCCACTGCGCATGCGCGCCTCCGCGGAGAGGGACTTTGGGGCGGGGGTCTCCGGGCACGCGCGGGGCGGGGGCTGAGGCCGGGGAGACGGGCGGTGGGAGCGGCGCCCCGCTGTTGCTATAGTTACCGGCCGCGGCCTGTGCCTCTGGGTTTCCCCGCTGAGCTGGCAGCTCTGGGGATGTTCCGGGAGGGACCCTGAGGCCCGCGGGGAGCGCCGGGCTCGACGCGGCCCCGGGCGTGGGGACCGTGCGGCCCGACTCCGAGGGTGTCCGGAGGCTGCGGCGAAGCCGGCTCTGCCCGGCCCCGACGCCCCGTCACCTGTTGACTCGGGCGTGGGTGGGGCATAGCCGCCCTTTCCCTTGGGCGAAGGTTGCTTGTCAGTGGGGCGGGTGTTTCCTGAGGGCCGGGTGGTGAGCTGAGGGAGGCAGGTTCCTCGCTTGGAGGCCAGAGCGTTCCCTTTGTTGTCAATTCCGCCTCAGCCACCTTTCCTCTCCCCTCCTACCCCCCAAAGTACCCCCCCACACACACACACACCCGGATCTCAGGCGTGTGGGAGTCAGGCCGACTTAGCACAGGTCCCCAGAAGAACCTAGGTAGGAAGGCAGCGTGCTAGGACAGTAAGGTAGAGATCGAATGGCAGGCCTTCCAAAGGCAAATGCCAGTCCGTCTGAATAGTCCCCCTCTCCTGCTGCCCTCAACCCTGAATGATGGGAGCGGGAGAGGGCAGGAGGTCTAGAAAGGGAGCCGGGGTCTGGCACAAGGGACTGGGGTCCAGGCAGGGCAGACCCTGATCGGACCTGCCAGGAGGAGAAAGTTTCGAGGGTCCCGGTCCAGTCCCGCCGGCCCCCCAGCTGGGTGGAGGTAGTGCAGGGTTGGGACTTGGCTGCTCTGGCAGGGCAGGCCCTGAGCCAGAGGCGGCAGTGGGACGGGCCCTCCCCCAAATCACCAGAGGTCCCCGGGTCCCTGTCACTGCATGTTTCTGACTTTGTTGGAGAGACTGGTGGGCTCGGGGTCAGGCCTTAGATATGATCCTCTCAAGTTTGATGAGCTGCTTCCCTGGCAGATCAGAGTTGGGGTGCTGTGGGGCGTGACAGCGGTCAGTGGGGGAGAAAGGAAAGATCCTGACTGGCCCATAGGCCCTCATCCTGCTGACTCCCTGGTTAACCCTGGCATCCCATGCAATTCTGTGCTTCTCAAAGGGGGGTACCTGGGCCACCCCCAGGAGTTCATGGCGTTAGGGCTACAAATGGAGCTGCAGGAGAAACGTGTGGCATCGCCCTGAAATGTGTTTCACCTGCAGGTTTGGGGGGAGGTGATTGTCATGTGAACACCAAATAACAGTTGACCTTTTTTTTTTAACCCTCACCCGAGGATATTCTTTCCATTGCTTTTCAGAGTGGAAGTGGAGGGGGGGGGGAGGGAGGGAGAAAGAAACATCAGTGTGAGAGAGACACATCAATTGGTTGCCTCCCGCAAGCACCCTGAGGGGGGCTGGGGATCAAGCCTGTAACTGAGGTACGTGCCCTTGACCGGAATGCAATGGGCCCTTCAGTCCGAGGGCCAGTGCTCTAATCACTGAGCAAAACCAACCAGGGCTACAGTTGAATTTTGAACAACACAGGTCTGGACTGCATGGGTCCACTTAGACGTGGATGTTCTTCAGTAAATATACACTAGGCCCTCTGTATCCCTGGGTTTTGCATCTGTGATTCAACCAACCATGGATGGAAGAAACAGTGTTTTCTATCCATGATGGGAATCCACAGATGCAGAGGGCCAGCCACGCTATTTTATATAAGGGACTTGAGCATCTGTGGATTTGGGTATCCACGGGGGTCCTGGAACCAATCTCGATGAGGGATGACTGTAATGTCTTTGGGGAGTTAAAAGTTACAGTCAGATTTTCAATTGTGTGGGGCTTGGCTCACCTAACCCCTGCGTTGTTCAGGGGTCAACTGTAGTCTATTTCAGGGTAGAATGCAAAGGGTGCAGGAGTTTGAGAGATGAAATCAGGGTTGTGCTTCTGGCTGGTCCCCTGGGGGTAGGGCTGCCCTCCTCTATGACCCTACCCATTACCCTGGGTCTTAACCATTCTCTGGAGGCAGTGGCTCGGGAGGAGAGCGTTGCATAGGATACCTCACTCTCTTAGCTCGAGTGTTGCAGACTCTGGGGGGACACCCTCCAGTCCTTGATTGTAAGGGACTCCTGGCTGGGTTGAAACCTGGCTGGGTCCTCCCCCTAGGCTGGCTATTGGTAGTGCAGTGGGGGCAGGGTTGGCGTTGGAGGCAAAGTGCCAGCTGCAGCAGGAAGTGTGGGTTGGTGCCAGGTGAGACAGGCTCAGCTGACAGAGCAATGTTGTCTTGTGGGCACTCAGCATCCATGGCTCTGGGTACCTGGAGGCCTGAATGTGTTGTGACACGCCCACGACAGGCACTGCCTTTTTAGTAGACAGAAACTACGTTATCTTAGGAGGTCTTGGGAGGCACACAAGGCAGTCCCATTGCAGTTTGGGCTCACTTCATCTGCGCTCCTCCTCCATTACCTGCTGCCTGCATAGGGTTACAGGGAAAACAGCAGGATTCCAGGTGCTGCAGAGCTCAGGTGCACGGGAGCTATGCAACTTTAATGAACTGGTGTCTGATCACTGCCTCAGTGGGCCCTGCACCAGTGACGGCCCAGGCTGGGTCCCTGGCTCTGGCTGGCAGGCTCCCGGAATTTTTGGTGAAGTTGGGCTACATGCTGTGGGTAGAGGAGGGAGGCGAGTGTGGCAGACCCTTCCCATAGGGTGCAGTCGAGAGGGGTGGGCAAAGCTCCACATTTGGGGCATCGGAAAAGCCACTTTCAGGGACAGAAGAGGATGCCCCCCTCCCCAACGTAACCCCTTGCTGTTTCAGGGATGGCTGGGCTGGGCTGTGGAACTGGCCTGTGTGCAGGAGGGAAAACAGGCCTGAAAGGTGAAAAGAACACAGCTAACCAAGGTCACTCAGCTGGTGTGTAGGTCAGAACTGCACTGTGACCCAGCTCTGCCTGTCCTGGTTTCTGTTCTGAGAGGGAGCCCTTGTCACAACCAAAACCCAAGCCACATTTTCTGAGTCAGAGGACTTATGTGGCAGCCCTGTGAGTGGGGACACCTGCCCTGGAGAGACTTCTCTCTGTCATCCAAACCATCTTGTGAGGGGGGTATTGGTACAGTTGGGGTCCAGAGGGCAGGCTCCTTCATGTCCTGGAATAGAGAGGGTGAGAGGCCCCTGCAGCCTTGCTGAGCTCTGAGAGCCAGCCACACCCTTACTATGTGGCCTGGGCTTCACCTGTCTGAGCCTGTGTCCTCACCTGTGACAGGGAGCAGTTATGTTCACCTCAGATGGCAGAGGGGAGACTTCTAGGTTCTGTGAGAAGAGCCAGGCATGGGGTGTCGGAAGGTATTCTTGTGATGTCACATGCCGTCTCTCCAGGTGGCCTTCCCAGCAGACCCTGTCCCTTCCTCTCTGCTAATTCCTTTCCGTGTCTCTTGCTTTCAAGCTTGCGCCATTTCCGGCTTTTTCAACTGCATCACCATCAATCCTCTGAACATCGCTGCGGGCGTGTGGATGATGTAAGTAGCCATGTGCCTTTCCTGCTGGCCTATTGACAGGCCACCGTGCAGATCTCCACCTCCTCCGTGCCACCGTGTTCAGTTTTCCTGATTTCCATTAGGGCCAGGGCCAGAACGCCCTCCCAGGCCTTTACTGGGTATAGGTCCCAGGCTACAAACATTTGCCTAGTGTCTGCAGAGTCTGACTCTGTGGGCACCACATCCACTGCCATGGGCCTTGCCCCTGGGAGCTCCCAGGCCATCAGGGCCAGCCGACGACTGCTTTGAAAGGATGGTTTCTGATGGGTTGCAGTCAGGTGCAGGATCAGGAGATCCAGCTCAGAGGTGGGCAAGCAGTGCTGGCCACAGATGGAGTAGATCAGAGTTGGTGCAAGATCAGGCATTAGCACACCCCAGATGAATTTCTTGCCTACCCCCTGCTACGGTAGTTTGATCCTGTTGGAAGGGAAGGGAGGGATGAGAACTGGCCAGTGCAGCTCTGGCAGTGTCTGACACCACCCCAGGCACATGAGAAGTAGCTGTGCACCAAACATGGTCTGTGTCTTCATGGGGCTTGGTCTGGGAGGAGCACAGAAATGGACAAGATGTGGTCCTACCTTAAGGGAACTCAGGCCAGTGCTAAGATCTGGGGCTTGCTGTGGTGGGGGCGTGGAGACCTGTGCTGTCCAGAGGCATAGGGACAGGACCAACAGGGGAGAGGCACTGGACCCTTGGAAGGGAAAGAATTGGCCAAGCATGGGTGAGGATCAAGTTGGGAGGCCTGGACAGTGTGAGTTGTGTAGACAGTTCCTGCTCTGGGGGACACAGGCTGGCTTTGGGGGTGCCCTGAGCCTGTATTTCTGTCATAAGAGGGTAACCAGGAAACTTTCCCCTTGGCCTGGAGGTGGGTAGAGGGTCCAGGGTCTGTGACTGTGACGTAGTCACAGAGAACACGAAGACTGAAGCATCACCCTCAGTCCCCGTGGCTTAGCTGTCCCCAGCCTGGGCACGGGGCTGCACCAAGGGCTTGCTGAGTTCCCTCCTCAAGTGTGGACTTCCCTTGGGTGGGGCTGCGTCAGCTCTCTGCCCCTGCTTGTGGGCAGACTGACCTGCTCCCACTTTCCCGGTCCATGTGCCACTGGGGATGCTGGTGAGAACAGCAGCAAGTGCTACCCGATGAGGAGCTGGCTGCGGGCTTCTAGCAGTGCCGTGGCCTGGGGGGTCTTTTTCCTCCTTCAGAGATGGGAAGGGTCAAGGGAAGATCCAGATTCTCCCCTCAGGAGCATTCAGTTCAGTTAGGGGGACACGTGGGGGACAGTGGGGAGTGGGGAGACGCTGGCAGAGGCCAGTCGGTCAGCTGCGCTCCCCTCCCGCTTGCTCTCCAGCATGAACGCCTTTATCCTGCTGCTTTGCGAGGCGCCCTTCTGCTGCCCCTTCATTGAATTCGCCAACACGGTGGCTGCGAAGGCGGACCGGCTGAGCTCCTGGCAGAAGGCTGGCTTCTACTGCGGGTGAGCGGGTGAGGGGCCATGGGCAGGGCCCTGACTTAGTTCCTATGCTGCCTGCATGGTGACCTGAAGGGTGGTGGCGGCACTGGCCAGGGGTAGGGGGACAGATGCCCCCAGTCACTCGGTGGAGGTTTCGCCTGGGATACCTTTGGGCTCATCATGGTAGCTGCTATAGGATGGGACCCACTGCCCAGCTATACAAGGTTCAGACATGAGCCACACATACCTTACAGCATCACTTGTAGTAAAGTGAGAATCGCCTGGCCCATCAGTCAGGATTGTTGAACGCATTCTGGTACATTTGTGTGCCAAGTGTCCACGTAGCCCTTCCAGAATGTGGTCGAGCTAGACGTCCCAACGTGAGGGGAGAAACACTGCAGATGGAATGCACCTCCCAGATACGCTTCTCTGCTGCGTCCTATCTCACAGCCAATTCAGTATGTTGCGCTCCACGGCTGAGTCTTGAGAGGAGCTAACTGCACAGTGTGTTTCATCCATAGAAGATTCCAGAGTAGTGCCTGGTGCCTGGGAGGCTCTCTGCAGCTTCAGGCAGCAGCAGCTGCAAAAGTTATTACCTAGATTATCTTTAGAGGTAAACACCTCTAAAGGTGTTTCAAAGGTTCTTGTTTCAAAGGTTTCTTCCCCTCCTGGAGGCCCAGCCATTTGGACGGAGCTTGGCTGTGTGTCCCTTTCCAGAACCATCTGTCCTGAACCTAAACTACAGGATCACAAAACACTGTGCATCTTTGTGTCCTTGGCCCTGATCTTTATTTTTTTAACGTATTTTTAAAATGTCAGCAGTCATATATTCATTAAAAATAATTTGGGAAATAGAGAATTGTTGCCTGAAGCCCCGCTCCCTGTTAACATTTTGATGTGTGTCTTCAGGCATTTTGTTAAACCTGTTTCTTACACAGGTATAACCATAATAAGTAAATTTATATCCTGCTTTTTAAAAATTAAATGTCATGATATAATCATTTTCAGTATTGCCACAGGGACTCCCTAAGATCACTTTTACTGCTAGGAGTATTTCTCCAACTGGACATGCTCTTCTGCATTTGTAAACTGTGGTCTAAGGCAAGTGTGGTGAACTTCTCTAGACCTTCCTTTGTTTATAGTGATCTCCAAGGACAGATGTCCAGGTGTGGAGTTACTAGGTCAGAGGGCACGATCCTTTAGAAGGTCTCAGCGAGTGACTGGACTGCTTTGCAACGAGGAGCTTATCTGCTTTCTCCCGTCCACTCACCAGCGCTCTGCACCATTTCCACATTCTGTCTCTTATCTGAGAAGGCAAATATTTTTCCATGTTTTTATTGGTTGCATTTTCTTTTTTGAAAATGGCCCAGTTTGCTTTTTACCTATTCGCATCTTAGTGTTTCACTTAGTAAGTTCTATTGGTCTCTATACTAAAGACTTCTTAATCCTTTGTTAGATTTCCTGCAAATATTTTTCTAGTTTGTTGTTTGCCTTTAATGTTATTTTGATGGACTGTCCCCCTGTTTGTTTGTTTTTTGTTGTTTTTTCTGTTATTCTTTTATCACTTAGAAATTTTATACCTACAGTTGGTCTTTGAAGAACCCAGGGGTTAGGGGATACTGACCCCATGCAGTCAAAAACCCACATATAACTTGTGACTCCTAGAAACGGAACTAATAGTCTACTGCTGACCCGAAGGAAGCCTGATTGGTAACATAAAGAGTTGATTAATACATATTTTGTCTGTTATAGGCATTAAATACTGTATTCTTACAATAAAGTAAGCTAGAGAAAAAAACATTAAAATCATAAAGAAGAAAATAAAATGTAGGTACATTTACAGTGCTGTACACATTTATTGCGTATGTATGGACCTGCACAGTTCAAACCTGTGTGTTCAAGGATCAGCTGTATGGTAACTGACCTCAGGATCACACGCCCAGCCGGATTGGAAATCCTGGCAGAATTCAGTTGGTCCGGCCCCATTCTCCCCACCAGATGGCTGCAGGCCACTGTCTTGTCTCCTCTGTACAGGGCGTGTGTGGGCAGGGGGACGCATGGGCAGCCTCGTCCAAGAAGTGGCAGGACAGAATGCTGGTCCTCATGTCCCCTTACATTTTCCTGGCTTAATTAACCTCAGTGCCACTGGTCTGGAAATCTTGCCATCAAGGGTTAGCCCCATGGATACTTAAGCCTGAGTGGACACCTACCGCCAGGTGGCGTCAAGCTGTAGTTGGGACTGGACAGAGGACTGAGCCAGTTAGCTGCTGGTGCCAGGAACCTTGCAATGAGACTCCGTGCCTTACGCATTTTAATCTTTGGAACCTTTCTGGTTGACATAGGGCTGGTTTTACTGCGCTAATACGAGCCAGCATTTAATTAGTGCCTATGCTGTTCCAGGCATTGTGTTAACTATGTAACATGCCTTACCCGCCCTCGGTCAATCTCGAGACCTCTGAGGTTTGATCCCCATACCACAATACAGAGACTGAGCCTTAGAGAAGTTAAGCGACTTGTCCACAGTCACAAAGCTAGTAAGGGACTGAACTGACACTAGATTTTCTGATCTTCCTGTTTTTGTAAACAGGGGATTGGGCCATCTCAGTGCTGTTTTAACCCTTTGTGGATCACAGACCTTTTAAAAAATCTGACGATAGCTTTGAGTCCCCTCCCCAGAAAATACACAGAAGTGGGCAGACAAGTTCTTGGATATTGGAGGGCTTAGGAAGGCTGGCTGTGAATCTCCGTCCCAGCTGGTTTCCCGGGATCCTTCCTGTACCTGATGGTCTGAGAAGGTGGTGGGGGTGAACCAGGGAGGACTGGAAGTGGTGTGGTGGCTGCAGGGTGGGCATGCCCCTTGACCTCTGCTTCTCCCCCAGGATGGCCATCGTCCCCATCATCACCAGCCTGACCCTGACCACGCTGCTGGGCAATGCCATCGCCTTTGCTACCGGAGTGCTGTACGGACTCTCTGCCCTGGGCAAAAAGTGCGTTTCTACTGCGGGAGGGGTCTTTATTTCCAGCCTTCTGAGTCTCCGTGAGGAAGGTCTGGGAGTGGCCCTTGGTATCCATTTGTGGAAACAGGCACAGAGGTTGTCAGTGATTCATCATTATCATCAGGGTGATCAGCTCCAGGGAGTGAAAGGAGAATTCATGAGGCCTCCTGTTGGCTCAGTCTTGCCTTGTCAGCCTGTGACAGGGATGGCAACAGGGCTTGTGAGAGCCTCTCCCCATGCAGGGCCCCCACCTGGCACTGCCCTCTCACAGGGCCCGGCACCCAGGCAGCCTGTGCCACTGTGAGAGGTGACAAGACACGTCTTTGCCATCCCACCACCAGGCTCTCTGGGGAAACCTGAAGGCCCAGTAGGCCCTGCCTGCAGGTCATGGCAGGGTCACTGGCCAGGAATCAGGGAGTGGCTCGGAGGGCTGTGTGCCTGGGGTCTGTCTGCACTGTGACGCTGACTTGCTCTCTTCCCCAGGGGTGATGCCATCGCCTATGCCAGGATCCAGCAGCAGAAGCAGCAAATGGATGAGGAGAAGCTCACAGATACCCTGGAAGGGGATCTGTGATGCGGGTCGGGTAACCGCCCCCCTCTCGCCCCTCGGGTTCTGTATAAGCAAGTTCAAGGATGGGGCCTGAAGCATTGACCCCGAGGGACAACCTGGAAGAGGAGCTTTTGCCTGGCTCCCATCAGCTTCTCTGCACCTGCCCCCACCACTGGAGTCCTCCTGTCTGCCCCCCTCCTCAGACTGGCATCTCCTGGCCCTGAGCTGGTGCAGAGGTGCTGGGGAGAGGGCACTGGGGAACTGAAAGCCTAGGAGGAGCTTCCCCTGGTGACGTTGCTCCTGTCTCCAGGTGGGAGGCCTGGGCATTAGCCAGAGTGAGCCTCCTCAGCAATCCAGGTAGGAGAGCCTCCGGTAGGCTGAGCCACCTAGGCCCATCTCTGTCTGCCTACCATCAGGGTAGAGCAGTGTCTGGAGGGCTGTCTGTTGTCGTCCATGACCCCTGGCCACTCTGTCCCCCGTGGGAGCCCACAGTGCAGCCACAATGCTCCTGGAGCACCTGGAACAGCAGCTTTGGCCGCAGCCGGACACTTGGGTGGAAGTGCCTCCACGAGTTCCCCGGAGCCTTGGACAGACTGGTTCAGGACACTTCCCAAGGGCCTGGCCTGGGCTCCCAGGCTCTTCCCATCTCTCCCTCCCCTGGTGCTAAGGAAGTGGGTAGTCCTGCCCTGTCAACAGCTGCTGAGCCCTGTTAAGAGAGGCTGAGCTATGGTATTCCTGCAGACCTGCTCCCAGCCTTTTGAGAGCTGGGCACACTGCTGTCCCCACTGCCCTGGGTGCTAGCCCATCAGGGAGCAAGACCTAGGTGGGGGACAGGGAGCGTGGAGAGCTGGTGCCCAGGGAGCGGCCCTCACCTGTACCCTCATCTCCCCCAGTTTCCTTCCACACTCGTCCCTTTCTTCTGCCCCATGGCCTCAGCCCACTGGCCTGATTGCCTGGCTGACCCTCAGGGGTTAGGCATGTCGGACAGGGCCTGGCTGAGCCCGGCAGCACTGGACAGAAATGGGCTGGCATGGAAAGTGCTCCACTGGGGCCCAGCTCCTGCTCTCCCTCCTCGAAGGCCCCCAGGCTGGGCTTGTTCAGAGCTCAGGGGCCCCTCTTGCTATGTTGAAACCAGCCCCAGGGCTGTGCCTGGGTCTTGGCTTCCTAAAGGGACTTTTCATCCCCTTTTGAGGCTGAGTGTGGCAGGCATTGTCTGCCCTAGGGACACATCAGTGGGTCCCAGTCAGCAGCAGCCCTCCAGGGATCCTGACCAGGCTGAGCCCCAGGGTCCTGCAGTGTGGCCGGTGTGTTGGGACACGTGCCTTCAGGGGTCCTCTGAGGTCACCCTCAGGCCAGTGCTGGGTTCAAAGGGCTGTGGGCTCCAGGCCTATGGTATGTGTGTGCGCATTTGTTGGGTGTGTTTTCTCCCATGTGTGCCGTGAATAAGACCTGTCTACCTCCCAGGAGGAGCAGGGGTCCTCCTGCCCCTCTTGGCTCTTCTTATCTAGGAAGGGGATTCGGGTGTCACTTCAGCCCCCTCCTGCCCATTACAGGGACCTCGCTGATGGGTTTCCACCCTATAGGAGAGGTTAGCTGTGCATGGCAAGGAAGATTGCACCTGTACCCTGTGAGGAAATTGGGTGGGTAAAGGGCGGACTGTAGAGTCGGACACACAGGTGGCAGGGCCCTCCAACCCCTCCCTCATGGGCCAGAGCAGGCAGGTCACTTGCCCAAGGTTCCCAGCGAGTCTAACGAGCAGTCCTGTAGTGGGTGACCCTGTCTCCCAGTGGGAGTCTTGCCTTGCAAGGAACATCTGTCCAGGTGGCTGAGAGCCGGGCCACAGGGCCCACTCCTGCCTCCATGTGTCTGACTCTGACTTCTGGTCCTCATTTACTCTGTGTTTACCTTAATTTGTGAGCAATAAAGCCTGGCGGTTTGTTTGCTCAATTGTGCGCTCTGCCTTAAGTGGTAGGGACGCCCCGACCCCACACCAGCTGAGCAGGGAATGGCTGCCATTTTATCGGGGACCTGCTGTGCCGCCAGCCTCTTGCCTGAGGTCCCACAGCTAGGAAGAGTGGGCAGGGCTGACTCCATTGCCAGGCTGCCCTCACAGGCTGCCTTGAGCCTCTGCCTCACTGGGGATAGGTCAGGGTGGCAATAAGGGTGTCCACCTGGGACAGCAGGCCCTGGCAACCATGGTTAAAAATGTGGGTCTAGCCTGGCCATTAGGGGGGCTCACCTACCAGAACTCCTTCCTCTGGAGGGTCACAGCCCAGTTTATTTTTATAAATAGGGGGTACACCGTTTGTATCCAGGAGCAATGGAGCCTCCTGTTCCCAGATGTCGAGCTGGTGCAGGAGTTAGTGTTTGTGCTGGGTCCAGAGCCCAGCCTGTGGGAGTCTGGGACATTGCCCGTGGTGTCTGCAGCCCTCAGGTGCAGATTTCTGCCTTCCCATAGCCAATGTGCTGGATGGCGGTCAAGTGACTGGAGCCACTCCTCTGCCTCCAGCCATCTGTCCTCATCACAGTCCTCTGTGAGAGGCATCCAACATGTATGAGGAAGCACTTAGGCCTGAGGTTGCCCAGTGTGGCCTTGCCCCCTGTGGTTCATGGCTACCTCCTCTTTGGGTCTGTCCTGGCTGATATGTGAGCAGCACCACAGGCTGCCTGAACTGAGGCCAAGGCTGGATGGTGCTGCTGGCTGTCTGGTGCTGGAAAGTGCGCTCTGGGGGCCTGTCGTGCTTCTGGCCGGTGCTATGTGGCTGGTGGCAGGTTGCTCCTGCTTGCTGGACTCCTGGTGCAGGTTAGTGTCCAACACAAAGGCCTGGCTGCCAGTGGTTTGGCCCCTTCCAGAGGGACCCTGACCTAGTGCAGGAAGGACCTCCTCCCGGTCCGGAAGAAGGACTCGATCTGCTCCAGCGAGCGGCCCTTTGTCTCCGGCACACAGCAGCCAGTGAACACCAGGTTCAGCAAGCAGATGGCAGCAAAGAAGAAGAAAGGCACCTGGAGGCCGAAGGCGTTCTGGGGGTGGAGAGGAGGTGCCTGGTCACACGGGGACCAAGGGTCCTTCCTTCCCCACACGAGATTCCTGGGCCCTGCTAGCATTAGCCAGCCTTGGGGGGCCTCCACCTACTCTGTCCTCTACTCAAGACCTCCCAGGGCTCCCCACACCCTCTAGCAAGAAATGTAAAGGCCTTAGCGTGGCACTTGCCCTGGAGGTCTGCACCCAGCCTTCCTCTGGTACGGGCCCTAGGATTTCCTTCCTGCCCCGAGGACTCACTCGGAGCCTGCCCTGGCCTGGGCCAAATGGCCTCAGCCTCGGCTCAGGCACCCCTGTCCCCCACCCAAGTGCCTATCTTTTCCGTTTGAGCTGTTCCAAGCTCCTGCCTACAGGGAGCCTGCTACCATAGCCTAGGAGCTTGCGCCTGCTCTCCTGGGACACCCTCCACATCTTCCCGCCCCATGCCATCTGTGCCTCTGCTGGGGCTGTGAACACCCTGCCTTCCAGCCATCTCACCCATTCCAGGGCCCCAGTCCTGCCTGGCCCTGGGTAGGTACCCCCAGCGCTGCCCCATCAGATTCTCCCTCCTGGGAGCTGGGGCTCAGATGCCATTGGCTTCAGGGCCAGCTGGGCTTGGAACCCATTGGGGAGGGCATTAAGCCAGGCAGGAGCTGTGTGTGTGTGCGGCATATATGATACCACACGTGGGCTGGCCAGTAGGGCACGCTGTAGAGACCCAAAGTGCTCAGGCAGAGGCCCAGCTGCCCTGGAGGGCGATAGTGCAAGATGGTGCAAGCGAGTGGGGTAGCTTCCCCCTGGGAAGTCAGCTGACTTCCCAGCAGCTCCCCAGCTCCTCCGTCAGTTAATTGTAGTGAAGGGACCTTCGCTGTATGGGCTTCAGTGGAGGGGATGGGTGCTGATCTCTTAGAGGACACAGTAGAGAAACCCTCAGCACAGCCCCTGGCAGAGGCCAGAGGGCCCAGGTCCCCAGCACTCACCACCACCAGCAGGAAGGACTTGGTGAGGGCGAAGGCCGTGAGCCAGCTGACCAGCACGCAGAGCCCCGAGGCCACGCCACGCGCCCGCAGGGGCAGGATCTCAGACATGAGGAGCCAGGTGATGGGCCCCCAGCCCATGGCGTAGCCTGACCAGAGAAGGCAGAAGGGGCAGCTCAGGCCCCACCGGGGGCTGGCAGAGGCCTCTTCTGTCTCCCCTGAGCTGCTGAGAGACCCCTCCCCAACCATCCCAGACAACCCAGGACAGCAGTGCCCTACCCACAACACAGCCATGTCCCCTACACCCCACCCACATGACAGCCCCTCCTTCCCTGGTCAGCAGCCCCCCAAACTCCCCACCCCCGTGGAATCACTGCCACACCTACCCATGATGAAGAGCATGGTGGCCAGCAAGGGCACCAAGGTGAGGTAGTTGGTGGGTGTGGCCAGGGGCTGCTCTGTGCCCCCCAATGGCACACTCTCGAGGCCCATGGTGCTATTGGGGGTCAGAGGCTTGGGAGTGAAGTGGACATACAGCCCCAGTGTCAGGTTGGCAGCAAACATGATGGAAGCTGTGGACAGACAGGTGGCCCTCAGGGGGGCCAGGACCCTTTGAGCCGGCTGCTCCTTGGAAGCTCCCTCCATAGAGCCAATCCATGTGGCCCAGTTCTCATTCAGGCCACCGTCATGGCCCGTCTGTGACTGGTCACTTCCACTGAGTGGCAGGCTCCCATGCCAACTGTGTTTGGGCTTCCTGCACACCCACCATGATGGATCAGTGGGCTGTTTGCTCACAGAAGCACCAGCAGGCCTTTCTGGAGCAGCTGGTGCATGCCAGGCCCTATGCCAGGTGCTGGGGAGGCAGGGGCCACCAGGGCAGGTCTGACCCAAGCCTCCTGAAGCCCCCAGGCACAGGGCACCCACCTCAAGGGGCACAACACATGGCAGCTGCTGGAGAGATGGTGAAACTCACCTGAGACGAAGAGCAGAACCTTGCGGCCAGCCAGGTCCATGGTGAGAGCTGCGATCAGCACGGACAAGAGTCTCATGGCCCCCACAATGGCTGCGTCATCCTCAGGGGGCTGCAGAGAGGCAGCCACTGGGGCTGAGGGACCCCGGCCTGCTGCTGCCATCCCACCCATCCCCGCAAAGCACTGCAGGGCCCTCAAGCCCCAAGCCTTGGCCCCAGCTCCTTGGAGCACTGAGACACCGAGCACCTACTGTGTGCCAGGCGCTTTCTCTGGTCACCCGCCCTGGCCTGCAGGGCCTCTCAGGCAGGGGCGCAACTGCCATGCCCACCTCTGAGCTGAAGATCCAGTCGTGACAATGACAATACTGGTGGAGCTTGCTATGACTAATCAAATCTCATCTCTCTCTGAGCCCAGGACAGGCAATGAAACCACATATCTCTTATCTCCATTCTGCAGAGGAGGAAGCTGAGGTCTGGGGGCAGGTGACTGCCTCAGCAAGAGGCAGATGCTCTGAGCCTGGGGCCCACGGCCCCCAAGCGGTCTGCATTTCTATAAAACTGGTTTTCTTTGTAATCCAGTACACTTTAAAGCATGTAAGCTTCACTCGCAAACGTTACTCTGAGAACGGGGGTGCATGGCATAGAAAGTTTTGAGCCCCTGGCGGTCTCCACTTGCACGTGCACCTTGACACGGTGCCGAGCAGGTGCTAGGTAAGGGACAGTGAGAGTGCCGAGGCTGAGAGGCGGGGTGTGGGGGCTGGGCTCTCACCAGCAGGACAGCGGTGCTATTGAAGATGGGCTGCAGGTAGACAAGGATGGGCGTGATGCCGGTCAGCTGCTGCAGGAAGCGCATGAGCACGGAAATGGCGATGGGGCGGTACATGTGGGGGTCCCGAGCCTCGGCCCACGACATGCGGCTGCTCTGGAGACACAAGGCCAATGCTGAGGTGGCTGGGCCAGCCCCTCCAGCAGGGGCCACCCTGCCCTGGACTGCACAGAGCTGGGCAGACTCCCTTCTACCCTCCTCCAGGAGACTACCCAGGCCACGGGGCAGGCTGGAGGACCCCTGCTGGAACCCCAGGCCCCAGGATTAGCTGTGGGCCAAGGCAGATTCCTGCGTGTCAGTATCTCTGGGTCCCTAGGCATCTCCTGCCTGGACCGCATGCTCTGGGTCAGGCGCTCTGACGCCTGGAGGTGGGAATACTGGTATCTCAGTTTTCCGGGAAAAGCAAGTGAGACTCAAAAGGCCTGGTGACTGGCCAAGGCCACACACAGTTGTGGGTGTCAGAGGTGGGTGTGTGGGGCTAGATGCCTCCCCTGACCCCCGCACCTGTCTCTGGACGTTGTCCTTGATTTGTTGGAACTCCCAGCGGATGTCGGCATTGGCCCCACGCAGCCAGGCCAGCGCCTGCAGGGCCTCCGCGTCCCGGCCCCGTGACAGTAGGAAGCGTGGCGAGTTGGGCATGAAGCTGAGCAGCAGGATCATGATGACCACAGGCCCCTCCCCGGCCACAGCCAGCCAGCGCCACGGCAGCAGGAGGCCTGGGGGTGAGGAAGGAGGACCTGGGGTTCAGGCTGGACGCAGAGCCCCCTCCCACTGGGCCACTGAGCAACCTCATCTGCCCTCTAGGGCTAGTCCCAGGGCCGCCTCCTTTGGGAATTCCACACTGATTAGTCCAGGCCTCTGTGCTCTAGATCAGAAGGGGCCACAGCAGGGTGATGGAGGGGTAGCCTGAACGAGCAAGACCCCGGGCCTCTGCCACGAACCCCCCAACCTCAACCAGCTGCGCCGACCCCTTTTCTATGTGGACTTCCCACCTAAGGCTGCTTGATGGAAGCATTCTGTTGTCAAAAGACAGTTTCAGACTCCTGGCCTGAAGAAGCCCTCACTGCCCAGGTAGGGTGGGGCCTGGTGATCAGAGAGGGACAGGAAATTGCCGGGAGGCACACTGCATGGTGGCAGCAAAGAAGCCAGGTGTCTTGCCTCCCAGCCTGGAGATCATCTGGGGGCACATCCCTTCCCTTTATACCGCGTCTGCTTAGGACACCCTGTGACTCCCCAGCCTGCACACAGGAGGTGCTCGGTGCTTGTCTTACCAAGGGCATAGAGAGACAGCGATCCGAACACTGCCATGAGCTGGGGGGTGGCCCCCAGAGCCCCACGAACACCTGGGAGAGCAATCTCAGACACGTACACCTGCAAGACACATCAGCCCCCACCCCGGCCTTTGGTGAGAACGCAGGGGCCTGGTCAAGATGGCAGAGGTGGCCCCGGTGATCCTTAGGAAGAGGGAAGTGGGGTTTCTGGTGGGTTTTTTGTCCTGATCATGACTCACCTCATGACCTCTCTTGGGCCTCAGTTTTCCTAACTGTTAAGTGGGCAGAAGCACTCAGCTCAGCAATGGGTAGTGTGAGGTTGGGAAGTGGGAAGTCCAAGAGTACCCAGACTCCACTCTGCTTCCCGCAGCAGTCCTCACCCCCTGCTGGGTTTGCCTTAGCCCCTTGTCAGTGTGTGGGGAGTGGTGGGTAAGACTTAGGTTCCAGTGATGGGGCAGGGCAGGGACTTCCTTTTCCTCCCTGTTGCTCAATGTCGATTTTCTCCAACTGAGTAACATGTCTGACTGTCAGGATACGGGGTAGAAAATTTGTGGAGTCAGTGGGGGGCAGCTGGGGACATGGGGACAGGTGTCTCTGAAATTAGCAGCGCTGGTGGAAGTGAGCTGAGGTTCCCTGGCAAACATATCCCCATTGACCGGTGGACTTGGAGGCCAGGAGCCTTATCTGACGGTGCTTAGCACATGACTGAGACAGTGAGGGGACCTGGGGTAGACAGTCCTGGCCTTACCGGGATGCAGGCAGCTGTGAGCCCCCCAGCGAAGCCTGTCAGTGTCCTCCCCAGCAGCAGCATCCAGAGTCCGCGGGCACCTGCCATGAGCGCATAGCCGGCTGCCGAGGGTACGGCCGAGAACATGATGCTCAGCTTCCGGCCCAGGAGGTCGTTGAGAACCATGGCACTGAGGCCCCCAGCTGCAGCACCCAAGGTGAACACGGACTGTAGAGAAGGGGGCAGGGTAGACATGTCTGGGCACCCAGCATCCCCTCTCCCCATCGGAGCCTAGAGGCAGCTGCTTTTCCAGGCTAGCTCTGGGAGCCTGGGCTGCAGGACTCAGGCCCCGAATGGTAGTGAGCCTCTCATCTAGAGAGGTGTACAAGCAGCATGAAGACAACCATTTGTTAGGGATGCCACAACAGGGAGTCCTGCTCTGGGGAGGAGGTGGGGCCACGTGCCATAGCGGTTCTGTCCAGCCTGACATTTAATTGTCTAATATTGTAACATAGCAGATGGGAGGATTCTGTGATTCGAAGCTCCTGGAATTTTAAGATTTGGGGGTTCTTGGATTTCCTGTGCAGTATAGTGAGTAGGATCCAGTCAGTGAACTGCGCATGTTGCTTAGTCTATCCGAGCCTTAGTTTCTTCAGTTGTACTATAGGAAGAGTGGTGGCAGCCACCCTCAGATGGTTGGCCCTGGAGTCAACCAGCTCTCACGTAAAGCACCGAGCATGCACCTGGCACATAGTAAGTGCTCAGTACCCAGTGGGTATACTATCTTAGCTAGTATGTTGTAACTGCAAATTTGAGGCTACTAAGATTGTAGTTCTAGAATCTTCGGACTCTCCAGGCCTGTGCTCTTCCTCTCCATATGCCCCCAATGTGTCCTGGACCTCCTCGCTCCTGCCAGGGCCTCTTTCCACGGGCACCTGATGTCCCAGACCCCCCACATCCAGGGAGGTGTCTCCTCTGCTGTGACAGCCCAGCTCCACGTGTGGGGGGTCTGGGGAAACCTCAGCCTCTCTCAGCCCCACTGGGTGGAGACATTAAGGGATGCCTCCCCACTTGCTCCTTCCCACGCCCTCTCCAGCGGCTTTCACTTCCTCTTTTTTCTTCAGGGACACCACTGGGCCTCACTCCCCTCCTCCACCCCCAGCCTGGAGAGTGTGGGGAAGGGCGGACTTGGGCCCTGGAGGGGCTCTAAGGCTGAGCGTTAGGGGGGTTCCTAGCTGGGGACAGATCTCAGTGGGACCCTGTGCCCCTGCCCTGTTCCTACCAGCTCAAAGTATGGCCCTTACCCCGAACCAGGATGCCTGGGTTTTGGTCAGACTCAGGTTTGGATCCAAGGAGCGCTCCAGGGCCGGGATCACAGGGGACGTGTAGACCAGGGCATAGCCGAAGCTGAAATTGCCCAGCACAGCAGCGAAGGTAGCCAGGAACACCCTCTTGTTCTGTAGGGCTCTGGTGGTGGTAGGGCTGGGGCAGAGAGATCGGGGCTTTGAGTCCTTCCTCCCTAGTCTGCTGCCTTTCCTGAGTACAAGGGCTGTCCACTCAGAGGGCAGTGCTGGGGAGGGCTGGGTGGAGGGCCAGCGAGATCGGCACCTCCCCAGGGTCTGAGTGCCAGTCCCCTTGGGAAAACCCCAGGGCATGATACAGTCCCCACAGCCCATGGTTGTGGCTGAGACACGCTTGGTTTCTGCTCTCAGCTTTGCCACGCCAGGCCTGCTGTGTGACCTTAGGCAAGCCCTTAGCCCTCTCTGGGCCTCAGGCTCCATCTGTGCCAGTTGCGGCCTGGGCCCGGTACCGGAGGGCGGGGAGGGGGGACACACAACCAGCTCCTTCAATAGGACTAGTCTCTCTGAGGCAGGAGGGGACCAGATGGTCCCTTGGTGGCCACTCCCGGAGAAGAGGCCCAAGACAGAAACCAGCCCCCACCCGCAGCCCCCGTGCCCAGCAGCTCTCACCCGACCCGCGTACTCTCCCCCGGCGACGGGGACCGGGACGGGGGCGGCTCCTCCGGGAAGGTGTCGTAGTCCCGGCCCTCGGCTCCCAGCAAGGGCTCCTGCATGGCCAGCCTCTGCCGTCGCCTGCGCAGCCCGCCCGGGCAGCGTCGGGATGCAGCGCCGCGAGCATCCGGCGGAGCCCGCAGCTCCGCCCCCTGGCCGCGATTGGCTGCGGGGCGGCCCTGC